ATGATGCAAAAGACTTGTCTTACTTGAGGACTCTGAGGGGGTCAGGAGGGACTCCAGTTTGCACCAGCATGGGGTCCTGAACAAGATCTACAGGACAGACCACATACATACTTGATTATACACATTTTAGGGCTAAGTGATATAGTGAGGGAGAAAAAAATAATGTTAATAATTAATATTTATAGAAATGTATACATAAAATACACGAAAATATTTGTTTGCTTATTTTAATATACTAAAATAAACAAATATAATTGCTTATACACACATATATACACAATTTTTATTTAAATAAATTATATTTAATATAAATGTTTATTCTCATTTAAATATATAGATGCATTAAAAATAATTAATAAATAAATAATAATATATGATATAATTTAGAAACTATATGGCTTTTGAAAGTGAAAGATTATATATTAAATATATAGTTTATTTTTAATACATACAAAATATATAATACTAAAATAAAAGTTTTTGTTTACAGAATATGTGTGTGTACTGTGTATATTTATTATGTATATATAAATACACATATTCATGTATATATTTAAGAAAAATATGTTATTTTTATATATTGAATATATTTTAATATTATATAAATTATATGAATATAAATAAACAAGATCTACAGGACAGACCACATACATACTTGATTATACACATTTTAGGGCTAAGTGATATAGTGAGGGAGAAAAAAATAATGTTAATAATTAATATTTATAGAAATGTATACATAAAATACACGAAAATATTTGTTTGCTTATTTTAATATACTAAAATAAACAAATATAATTGCTTATACACACATATATACACAATTTTTATTTAAATAAATTATATTTAATATAAATGTTTATTCTCATTTAAATATATAGATGCATTAAAAATAATTAATAAATAAATAATAATATATGATATAATTTAGAAACTATATGGCTTTTGAAAGTGAAAGATTATATATTAAATATATAGTTTATTTTTAATACATACAAAATATATAATATATAATTTAAATGAAACATAAATGAATAATAATATATAAATAATCATAATAAAAATTACAGTTGTGGCCAAAATTGGGGCTAAGTAATATAGTGAGGGAGAAAAAAATAATTACAAAAATTTATATTTATAGAAATGTATATATAAAATACACAAAAATATTTGTTTGCTTATTTTAATATATTAAAATAAACAAATATAATTGCTTATACACACATACATATATATATATATACACACAATTTTTATTTAAATAAATTATATTTTTAATATAAATGTTTATTCTCATTTAAATATATAGATGCATTAAAAATAATTAATAATAAATAAAAAATAATATATGATATAATTAAGAAACTATATGGCTTTTGAAAGTGAAAGATTATATATTAAATATATAGTTTATTTTTAATACATACAAAATATATAATATATAATATAAATGAAACATAAATTAATAATATATAAATAATAATAATAAAAATTACAGTTGTGGCCAAAATTGTTAGAACAGTTGACAGATCTGAAAATATTGACCTTTGTTTTTTAATCCAAAACATGATTTAATTTCATAATGTTCATGAAACATGCAGATGGTTGCTCTGAGCACAACAAGTGAGTCGTACTGTTTTTATCTGCTTTCAACTTTAATATTCTAAAATAAAAGTTTTTGTTTACAGAATATGTGTGTGTACTGTGTATATTTATTATGTATATATAAATACACATATTCATGTATATATTTAAGAAAAATATGTTATTTTTATATATTGAATATATTTTAATATTATATAAATTATATGAATATAAATATATACACATGTAAATACATGTAAATATTTTCAAAATATATGCTGTGTGTGTGTATTTATATATACATAATAAATACACAATAAATCACACATATTATGTAAACAAAAACTTTTATTTTGGATGCGATTAATTGTTTGACAGAACTAATATACATATATACACATACACTACCGCTCAAAAGTTTGGGATAAGTAAGACTTGTAATGTTTTTAAAAGAAGTCTCTTATGCTCATCAAGGCTGCATTTATTTGATAAAAAATACAGGGAAAAAAACGTAATCTTGCTAAATGTTATTATAATATAAAACAATGGTTACTATTTTAATATACTTTAAAATATAATTTATTTCTGTGATGCAAAGCTGAATTTCCATCAGCCATTACTCCAGTCTAAAGTGTCACATAATCCTTCAGAAATCATTCTAATATAAGAAAGCATATAGCTTTCTTGTGTTAGGTGATCACAAATATTTTAAATTAAAACTTCCCACTGACAGAAACAGTCGGCTCTCGTTCCTTTTACTTTTAAATCTTTATTACAAACAGTCCCACGGGTCTTAAAGAACTTTGTTTTTCTACCCCCACAAGACACAAGTGCATATGCTGCCTTGTTTATCTAAGGGTGCGTTCACACTTGTCATGTTTGATTCGATTAAAACGAACCCTGATACGATTGCTCTGTAAGTGCGGTTCGTTTGCGTAAGTAAGTGTGAACGCTGCCATCCGAACTTTGGTGTGCACCAAACAAGTGGACCGAGACCGCTACGAGTGTGTTCACACTTGTAGTTCGGTTCGTTTGGTTCATTTGGTCTGGCCCAAAAAGGAAAATTATACATTTGGTCTTGGTCCGCTTAGCGTTCACATTGTCATTTTTGACAGCGAACCTAAAGACACCGAAACTAAAGGTATAGTGATACGTTCACAACCTGATTGTTCGGCTTGAATGACGTGTATATCGTGATGGAACTCACCGAAAACCCCAAACAAAAGATGCGTTAAACTTAAACACACCTAATGCCGTCTGCTGGACTAAGCGCGCTCATTCTTGCGTGTACATATAATTTTATCTTCACCACCTGCAAAGTCACAAGGAGCTCATAAAAGGCACTTTACCTCATCGTTGTTCCACGTTTGCCCTCTGCTCATTTTGTTTTGGTTACACCGTGTCGTCAAATCATGTCGCATAGCGTCGCATCTTGTCATTACTTCCCGTTTTTGGTTCGTTTAGAAGTATTTGGTCCGTTTTGCATTCATATATCATTCGAACCGCACCAGAGTTTGTTTGGAAGTTTGTTTGGTGCGTACCAGAGTTCGGATGGCAGCGTTCACACATGCTCAAATGAACCGCACTAACAGAGCAATCGCACCAGGGTTCGTTTTAATCGAACCAAACATGACAAGTGTGAACGCACCCTAAAAAGATGGGTCTCGGTCCGATGGAACTCTGGTGCGGTTCGAATGATATATGAACGCAACACGGACCAAATACTTCTAAACGAACCAAAAACAGGAAGTAATAAAGTGCAACACTATGCGACATGATTTGACGATGCGGTGTAACCAAAACAAAATGAGCAGAGGGCAAACGTGAAGCAACGATGAGGTAAAGTGCCTTTTACACCTGCGAGTTTGCAGGTGGTGAAAATAAAATTGTGTACACGCAAGAATGAGCGAGCCTAGTCCAGCAGACGGCATTAGGTGTGTTCGACCTAAAGCGTCACTGAGCAGACCAATCGGTTAATGGGTGCTTTGATATCATACACCCGCAGCGCCACTTTAAGTCTAACGCACCTTTTGTTTGGGGTTTTCGGTGAGTTCCGTCACGATACATGTGTCATTCAAGCAGACTAATCAGGTGTATATATATATATATATATATATATATATATATATATATATATATTT